CCACACCGAGCAGATTGACTGGGCTCCTTCCTTCCTTCTGGGCAGCAGCACCAGCCCAGGCCTCTCCCGACTGCTCAGCACGGCCCTCGCTCGCTCCACAGCGGCGCTGAGGTGATGCCCCCTCTGCCGGGCATGCCTGGCAGGCCCAGTCAAACCCCAGAGCCACCCTCCAGCAGCAGAGCAGGGCCTCGGGTGGGCCTGGGCGCCTGGGAAATGCGTGCAATGTGCACAGTGCTTGGCTCCAAGTCGCCTGCCCACGGTCTCACCAGGTCCCTGGCGGTCTGAGGGCAGCGGCCCGGTCCGCGTGGCGCCTTCGACACCTTGGGACGTGAACGGCACCTGGGCACGGATGCCCTCCACACCGCCCATGGGGCACGGGCACCGCCAGGCACCCTGCCTGCTGGCTTGGCCCATGCCCTCCTCAGGAAGCCACTGCTGCCCTGGCTGCCCTGACCCCAGCACCCAGCCCCGACTCGGTCAGCGCTGCCAGGGAGGGCACTGGGAGACAAGGCATTGGGGGTGGCGGAGCCCGGAGCCACGGCTGCTGCCCTGGGACCTGGAGGCTGGGTGCCCTGGGACAGTCACCCTGTGAAAAGGCCAGGTGAGTTCAGCACCCTCTGCTGCCGGAAAGGGATTCTCAGAACATCCAAAACACTACGAAAACCCTGAGGATCAGTAAAACGCCACAATGCTGGGTCCTTAATTTGGGTTGCAATAGGCTCCTCAGCCCTGCTTCCAGATCGGGCCCCCGGCTCCTGCCCGTGTCGCTCCTTCTTTCTTCCCAGGGTCTTTGCGCACACGGGCACCTTGTTCCCCACGGCCTGTCCTTCCTCAGAGCCTTCGCACCCACTGCTCCCCACCCAGCACATCCTTCTCTGCCTCTACTGCAGCGGGCTCTCTCCTATCACTCGGGCTTCAGCCTGAACATTATCCCTCACAGAAACCTTCCAGGCCCCAGCTGATGGGGCCACCCCTATCTCTAGCCCGTCGCTGCGGAGCGCCTGGCAGTAGGTGGCCATCCTCTGGACAGTTTGTTCCCGTATGGATCCTGTCTCCACAAGATACCTGTCCAGAGGCAGCTGCCTGAGCGCTGGGTTCCTCCGGTAGCTGAGCGACCTCTGTCTGCCACAGGGCCTTCAGAAGCGGCCTCAGCAGTGTGGAGAGGACTAGACTCATGGGGTGTGAGGCAGGACAGGCTTTGAAAAGGATCCTGCTGGGATCCCAAGCTCCTAGGGCAGAGAAGGTGAGCTGCGCAGGCACCAGAAGCAACGCCCCCCCCCC